ATGCTTTTCGGAAAATTCAGAGAAATACGTTGAGGTAGATAGCATTATTTGTATCTTGACGACCTACAAACATAATCAAGATGTTTTGGAACTTAGGAGGAAGAGCTGATCCTACTTCAGGATGAAATTCAACAGACAAGTGATGTCCTCACTCTTACAGAGGCGACAGAAATTTCTGCTGATGAACCAGAGGTGATGCGGCATTCACCAAGGAGACGAAAGAGGCGTTTTGCTGAGGATTATCTCTACTATGACTACCAGAGATCAAAAAAGTGATCTACATGGCACGTCAATTCAATCGTCGCCGAAAGTAGGTCGCATGCTTATCACAAGAGCCATTTGCATACAATGAAAGTTAACATCACCCGACCATCGCCGTTTTGCTAATTAAGATTCTTATATTTTTTCGACCACTCAGTAGTGTTCACTTGTTCCAAAGTAATCAACGCTTTCAAGCGATAGAATTCGTAGACCGACACGTTCCAGAAAAGCTCTAAATTTGATCTTTCCTAAGATTTCTTCGCAAAACATGCGTGGCTTCGATCACGCAACTATTCTTAGTCCCAGTTTCCACGGTCTCCGCAAGGAACGCCTGACACAATGACCCTCCATTTGTGTATAAAATACGACGAAAAACCCCGGGGGTACTTCCAGAAAAATTGGGTGGGGGTGTGCGGCACGCTTTCTGAAACCCTTACCCTATTTCAGACCCAAATCTGTGATTTTCCTACCCTATTTCAGACCTCATCAAAAATTTGGTACCCTATTTCAGACCTGAAGCCCTGGAGCCCGACGCGTGACCGGAGCGCGAGACTAGTCGTTACTGCACGTACAAAGTCGGCGTAAACATCAAAGAAGTAGCTTCTTCTAAAAAAACATATCCAATTCACATACCCTATTTCAGACCAAAACAGCTAACAAACCATACCCTTTGACGCTGCACATAGCTATATAGCCTATATAAGCATCGGCTCCTGATATAAGGGAGTACCCTCCCCCTGCAAAAAACGCGTTGAAGATTATGAGTCTCGCTGCTTACGGTATACGAGAGCAACAAAGGACAATCAGGTCCTTTGACACTTGACAGTAAAACCCAAGGCAAATGTCAGTTGTCGGTTAGATTTTAGGCAATCACGTGTTCCCAAAGACCACTTAACAAGAGGTTTGGGCAACAAGTTTATTGAGTCAGATTCGAGAGCAAGTCAGCACTGAGTAACGAATGACGTCGTAACTGAATCAACAGACCCCCTCGGAAGGGAGGACTGGGTATTGTGCTTGCCCTTCGAATTGAGCTTATGACTGACTGATTCATGCAGCGAGCTTTGCATAACGTCACTGCGACGCGTAATTAATTAACCAAAATCAATTAATGTAATTACTGAACTATTTTTTTTCTGTCAGGTAATATCTTGGCTATTCGTCAGTTGTCAGTTAACCCCATCCAGACCCTCTGTAAACAGATTCACCCTGAAGTCATACTGAAGGGCATCTTTTTTAGTTCTACAGTTTGCACTGGGGTGCCGTTAAAGCAACTCCGCCAAGTTTTCTGAAACAAGATGCAACTACTGCGGAGAAAACAATTTTAAGACTGCTTCTGAGAATTTTTGCGTGTGAAACGTGTTTCTTTACCAAAGCCAAGTGGGGAGGGTGGAGTTCAATGCGGGGTGTGGGAAACGAGAACTGTGTAGAACAGCGAGTGGGGGATGATGAGAAAGCCTTCGATTTTAAAAGTCTCTGAATATGCGATTGCGAGCGGCTGGTGACGAGGCAGACGGAGAGTGATTAAAACTTTTGTAAATAGACACAAAGTCGACACGGAGGTATAGAGGTTCCTCAATAGGTTTTTCGGGATCATTACGATTTCGTTGCGTTGCGTTACTTTATTTCAAAATGTCTGAAAGTGAATCTATTTCTGTGGGGGTACGAACTTGCTTATTCGCTTCTTTTGTTCAGAATACGTAAGTGTTTTTTTTACAAATTATAAAAAAAAATTTCTTGGAGGTACATATTACATTTTTTGCTAGCCTTGTCATAGGGTTTACAATTCCTGAGTACTTTCCATCGCACGTGAAAGGATCTGTTGGCATCTTTGAGAGTCCACACATGTTTGGACAGTTCCGTCTCGTTTCTTCCAAGGATGTCAAATGATTTCTGTACCGTTCTTGGAAGTTAGTGGTTAGTCCAATGTATGATTCTGTTGTTGTCCCTGTCGTTACAGCCCGGGGAGCGGGGGAAGGTGCTTCCTTATAAGAGGCTAATGGGGATGTGCCGCTGGATGGGGTTGCATTTTCACGAATGGTTTGACGGTTAGCAAACGTACCCGAATGTTTGCACTGTAGGTGAAAAGTAAAGTGTTCTTTATTCAATTTCAAAAAA